ATGGCAAACACCGGAAGGGGGGTGTACTCAAAGTCGTGCATGCCGTAGTCGATAGATCTTTGACCTCGCATCCCTACAAAGCCGGGACGGAGCACGCCGGGTTCTCACCGGGCCACACATCACCAAGCGCAAAGCGCCGTGAGGTATTCGGCGAGTCGCATGAAGCGTGCGCTGCATCCTGCTAAGGGTGTTCGGCATCTTGTGCTTACTTCCTTGCTTACGGATGACAGCCGCTTACGACTTAATTTATTTTCTGGTGCTTTCACTCCAGAGACAGTTGTAAGCACTGTGTACCTGCCTCGAGGGTGCTTGACCAACTTCACACAACGTGGTGCGATTATCCCCTTGCACGGAGTAAGGGTTTTCGACCTTGCACAACATAATCTACTCGGCCACCATTCAAGGTAGGAGGGGTCGGTGTTCACGTGTGACGCAACAGGCGTTGGTTAGTTGGTTGGAGCGGGGGGGGGGGAATGCGTGGCGTGCTCAACAATCTCTTCGTGCCCAACTGACTCAACCGGTCGCCACGTATCCTTGTCGGCCTCCACCCCAAATTTGAGCATCGTCTTCTGCTCCTTACAGGGATGCCGCCACCGTTAGGGCCTAATCGACCTTCCCATGACGTCCTGCACAAGGCTGGTGCGGGCACCGGAAGTCGTTTCTCGGAGTATTGTTTTCATCACAATAGATCAGCGCTCACAGCATTTCTGCCCGGTTCGGGTACTCCAACAAACCGTGGTCAGGAGGGTTCACCCTTACCCACCCTTCCTACGGTACTGACACTTGTTCGTGGGACACACACGAGGCACAACTTGCGCCAATACAGCAAAATGCCATGGTATCATCTTCCCGGCACACTTGTCTTTGACACGCCCTTGAACGTGTGTCGCCACAGACGAGGAGAGGCGGTGTACTTGTAGCCGTGATAGCCGTAATACTTACATCATGANGGGGGGGGGGGGGGGGGGGGGGGGGGGGGGGGGGGGGGGGGGGGGGGGGGGGGGGGGGGGGGGGGTAATAGGAACGAAGCGCGTCACGGTAGGCAAGGGGCTGCGGCGCTCACCAGGAAGCACAGCAGCATGTAGAACAGCAGTAGCAGCGGGAACGTGTGCGCAAACTGTATCGGCACCCACGTGGGGTTGAGCAGGACCCCCCTGAGGCACTTGTAGAAGCAGATGAACGACACCAGGAAGGCGATGCTCAGGTTGCATCCGGTGTTCCAAACCTTGTTTAGTCCATAGCAAATCGCAAAGGACGGGGGGCGGGGAGGTCATCAGATGATGGGATTTTGCGGGGGGGGAGGTAATAGTGGCGAAAAATATTGTTAGGCATCCATGGAACCTGTTGGCTCTAGCAGAAACAGACATCGCTCCTCAATGAAGGCTAGAAACAGCGTAGAGTGAGTGCATGAGGCCGTCACATCTCGCAGATACGACGGGAGGACGGAGGGGAGGCCCGTGTCCCAATAAAACCATCTCGCTTGGAGACGATATCACTTTCGAGTCTACTACATATAGTAAGTTTCGACCACTGGTTGGCCGACCAAAAGACCACGCCAACTAAAGTACAAACAATTCTTTTGTTTGGACGAAGAACATAGACAAAAGCAGTCGGGATTCCCTGGACACCCCGGAGACGTGACACGGCACTCTCGGTCATCCCGCAGGCGACGCAAGGTAAGACACAACTCCTTGCTGATTTTCAGCAAATCTCTGTCATGTATCTGTGTGTAAAACTTATTCTCTCTATCTCATCTCCAGCGCTGAAAGCCTGTCTCCCTTTATTCTCCTCGTCCAGGAACCGTTCTGTGTGACCACGGGTTGGAGNGGGGGGGGGGGGGGGGGGGGGGGGGGGGGGGGGGGGGGGGGGGGGGGGGGGGGGGGGGGGGGGGGGGGGGGGAGCGGTCCCGCGAACGTGGGGTAGCGAGACGCGCGACTGGCATGCTTCCTTCGGTGGTGTAGCAGCGCTTCCGTCCGTCGCGTGGCACGACAACACTGCTGTCGGAGTGAAGCTTTCTTCTCACCTGTTCGCAAGGGTCCACCCGCGGACCCTTAGGATCCAGGGACAGACACCTCTCGTAGTCGATGCCGAAACGCCTCCAAACCTGGAAAAACGACAGAAAAACGAAGTCAGAATAAGAAATCTGTACGCCCGTAGTGTGTCGGGTACCCATTTTGTTAGACGACGTGTTTGGAGGTGAGGTTGGTTCGTGATCACACATGTCGCGAAATCACACAGACCACGTTTACACATCGGAAAAGGGTGTGTGCCTGAGAAGTTTCGCCCTTAGGAGTGGTTCTTGACGAGATATGACCAGCATGACCACATTGTGTAAGCTGAACCGCACAACGCGCGATAAGCTTGTTTAGTTCAAAATCTTGCTGCCAGTACGAACAATACTGGACTCTGTCACAAGAATCACACAACTCCAATTCTGTCCTCTCGATCTCCCACCTCCCTCCCTTCTCCTTTCTCTGTCACTACCACTCTCTCTCCTTATATCTGTCTTCTACCTGCCTGTCTGTCTACCTCTCTCTCACACACACACTCACTCACTGCCCCTTCTTGTCTCTGTCTCTCTCTGCCCTCTGCCTCTCTCGCTCTCTTCTCCATCTCTACTTTCCACACCCGCACCTCACTCTCGCGCTTACCCAGATGTTGACCCCCCACATGTACACGAGGAGGACAAGGTTGCCTAGCCCGCGGTAGATCTTGAAGGCCGGGTCGTGCCACACGTCCTTGCCCAAAGAGTCGTCCGCGATGCAGTCCCACATCGCCCACGCCTGCGATCGTTCGTTGTCATCGTTTCCGTTAGGTTTTTCTGACATTGTTGTTTGTGCTTGAAACGAAACAATCCAACTGTTATTTCTGGCTTTTAGCTGACACATTTTTCATGCTTGAAACGAAAAGCAAAATGGACATTAAAAATGTTCTCGTGCTCTGTTGTTGGCGTCTACCAATACTAACAATATGTGTTTTGTTGTTGACGTCTATCAATAGTAAATAGTAGCAGTTTTTTTTAGTATTGAGTGCACCCAGCACCCAGCGAAAGAAGAAGCCGATGCTTCTTCCGCAAGACCGGCGAAAAATGTGGGATGAAAACCAATGTCTTTCGACTGCACATGCAGGAACATCGATTCCTGCGCACCTGAAGATACTGGCATGTCTGTTCGCTCTGTTCGTCGCTTTGCTGTGTGGGCGTGCTCTCAGCATTTAGACACCAGTGGGCTCAAAATCAAATACGCCCGAGGGTGCTATTGGGTCGCTTACAAGAAAAAAAAAAAGAAACGCCTCCACAGAACAGGAGAACGGCGGGCTGACTTCGGCAGCCGGGAAGTTCCTTTTCAAACACACACACGAAACAATCCACCACGAGCACAGAACCTACCGGCGTCATTTTTTCGTTGGTCAGTCAGAGCCCGCCACCCCAAACCAAGCCAACACCACAGGCACGCGGCGGTGCTGTGTACTTGTGCTTACCAGTAGCACCGTGGCGGCACCGAGACGGTAGCCGAAGTCGAAGCGCCTGTTTCCCCGGAGAGAGCTGGACGCCTTGAAGGTCAGGGCCGTCCGCGCCACGTCCACGTCGCCGTTGCAAAAGAGCGACGCGTACAGGAGCTCCGCTCCCGCTAGCGTGCTGGGTGATGTGTCAATATGGAATTCACCAAGTTGAGCACGTGAAGGGGAGGGNGGGGGGGGGGGGGGGGGGGGGGGGGGGGGGGGGGGGGGGGGGGGGGGGGGGGGGGGGGGGGGGGGGGGGGGGGGGGGGGGGGGGGGGGGGGGGGGGGCGATTGGGGTTATGGGTGTGGCGCAATCGGAGCTGGTACTTATGACACCGGTAGGGGGCGCGCGGAGGGGGATCATCAGACGCCGCCAACAGACGGCGTCTTCTTCCAGGCGTCCTACACAAGTATCTCACCCTCGCCACCCAGTAAATCTCTCTTCTACCGACAAGGGTTGCGCGAATTGAACCGTCAACGGCTGTGTCACGTGCCCACATACGTCGCCTCCTTTTAGAAACCCGGGATATTTGCTCCTCTTTGAGAAAACGACACGACCCCTTCGCACCAAAATGGTAGCGCCACTGCTGTTTCGTGGAACCAAAGACAAATCCTGTCGATCTCGTTAGCCTCGCGTGAACACCGAGGTGCGGTAGGTAGGGTCAGACAGGAGTGCGAGACTGCCACAGGGTATTATTGCTGGCCCATACCTCTGGGCCACCTCTGCGATAGACCACGAAACACGAGATTCCCAAACACCCATTATCCATCCGCACGGCCTACGATACACGAGCACCTATCTAGATTCTCCCCGAAGCCCCGGCCCGTCCAGGCCGGCTACATAGAGGCTTAGACAACCGCACAACCATATCTCTCATCCGTATGACGCATCGTGGAAAAAAAAAAAGTCATCAACACTGTTTGTGCTGTCTCGACTACCCTGGACGTCGGTCGTTCATTCCCCTTTCTTCAACATTCACGACCTTTTAACACCACGGACTGTTGCAAGGTCAGCCGGATATCATGCCTGCCCAAAAAAATAAACAGACGTACCTGTTGAGGTCGCGGGCCGAGAACAGCGGCTGCTCGAGCAGCCAGACCTTCATCGCCTTCTCCTTCGACAGCGCCCCCTCCCCTTCCCCCCCTACGGCGCCCCCGGCCTTGGCGCCCTGATGATCACCGACCACGGTCATCTTCCCGGCGGACCAAGGGGGTCTGGGGGGAGCTCCCGCTACCTCGGGACGACGGCAGTGGAGCTCCATCAGCCGCACAAAGGCGTCGTAGTTGAGCATCTGCAAACAACAGAAGCCGTTGTTTTTTTGTTAAATACGTGGAGGAGAGGGAAGAGGATAAAAAGCAGTGGTGAGTGTGTTGGAGTTTTTCGTGGACGTGTACAAGTAAGAGCACCAAGTAGAGACCAGAGCGCATGCGCATCGTCTACTTGGGGGACAAAAAAAGAGGCACGGAGCAGCGCAAGGCTGAAAGTAGTGCACAGTAACACGATCGCTTCTGCACACGAACAGAAACGTACAACCGGAGCAATACGGCAAGGCATCGGTCGGAGGCATGTTTCCAAGCCAGGGCAGGCTGCCCGGCATCACCCCCCTCCCAAACAACTTTCCAGGCCAACATAGGGGACGGCGAGAAACACAATATTGTCGTGCGTATCATAACGCACTCTCGGGGGAAGCCCAATAACACCGGCAGTATTCTTGAGGACTCAGGTCAGGAGAATATCAACACCCCCGAAGGCGGGGAAAACATAGCGAGCGCCCAAGCATTGGAGGCGGGTCTCCCACGGTTTGAAACCCCATTCCGTCTCGGTAAGGACAACGCGCTGTCGATCGTGCAGCAACAAGAGCAAGCAGCACGAGTGAAATCCCTCGTCAGTGACCCCCCCCACGCCCCTCCCGGTGTTTGCCATCGGGGTTGGGTTTTCGTCGCTTGGCAACGACGTTGTAAAACAAGCCGCCCCCCCC